GGGTCCCCCTGGGAACACGCTCCCGTGTCAAGCCTCCTGGGTGTAGGGCTTTAGCCTGATACATCAAATTATTCAATTCAATTCAATACACATCTGAGGTAGCTAGACTCTCGCCTTATTTACCCAAAAAAGTAGCCGGCAAAGACTAATTCTTCACCTTCCAGTGGTGCCGGTGTAATCGCTCAGTATGCTCTGCATATCTGGGATAGCCAAGAAGAATCGCATCCGAATCGAAGTCGAAAGCAAGCTCATACACATCCCCATTTGAAAACTTCTCGACAATGCCTCTCTCATCATAATCATCTGAGTCCTCAACTCATCTCTAACCATGCATCATCTCGCCTCAACGACCAATAAAGAATTTGCTCCAATTGCATACAGGAGCTTGCACCATTACTCTCCAGCCATCACTCACTACATATTTACAACGCTATTAATACCCGCAAGGAGGAAATCAAGTCGACAAATACAAAGCCTGGGTCATGGCTTATAGGGGACTGTTGCTCTAATGGGACAAACAACTTGAGGAAGAACAGGCTGCTGAGATGTGGAGCGAGAGGGGAAAGAGGTCTCTGAAGAGCATGCTGGGACCGAAATTTTCGAGGAGTTTTTAACTTTGGATTTTTTGTGGGCGCCAAGACCGAGATTTCGGCTAATAAGCCAGGAGGGCTTCTTTTGTCGATGAGTCAACGGCACTCCCCAGCGTCCTGGACTGCACAAAAGAAGTTGGGCTAAGCTACTATACAGTAATCACACTCTGTCAAGACTTTTCTGACATTTCAGCACGACCTTCGGGATGGAGTTGGAAGGAGGCTAGAAAGGCAGAGAGTGAATTCTCCGAGGTACTCACAAGTCTGCAGCGCTCAGCTGGCCGGCCTGTTCGGACCTTTCGGAAGGATCACTATGTCTTCGGATTTAGTCCTAATGTCGGTATTAGGAGAGCTCCGCACCCAATGGTTTTTGCGATTTTTCCCGGCTACCATACACCCGCAAATGGCCATTGTTTCGTTGGCTGGAGAGGAGAGATAATGAAGGGCTAAGGGCTCCTTAGTGTATGATCAAATGAGGACTTGTGAGGGGTGGTACTGTTTGAGGGGAGTTGTATGGGAGGCATAGGAGGGGACATACTACTGGTATAGGTATCCTTGGCCTGTAGGCAGAGAGGACCAGCATGTCCTACATAGTCATAGACTCTAACAGGACAATAAAGTGAATTAATAATAATATCCAAAACAGTATCACGGAATACTGTAGTACCCTCTATGTGGTAGTATAATCTAAAAATACTTTCTATACACTGCTTCGCTACTCTTATACTCATCATGGAGCCACCTGGAAAGTTCTTCCTTCACCCTTAGTGATCATCACCCTTGTGCATCGTAACTCTAGCCATCACCAGCACAACAGCTTGGCGTGTCGCCCTTAAGGCTGACTTTTTTTTTAGTCGTTTTTTAAGGCTGACACGCCTGTATCTAAGAAGAAAAATCATCACATCATCGAGAGACGCATTACGTACGTGTACATGTGTTTATTACCGACAGACATTTGAATTTTGAATTTGATCTCAATATCCAGATTTGGCGCTTTATGGGCCCATGCAGGTGTCTATCATACTTTGTAATTTACATGAGAGGAAACCTTTTGGTGAAAACCTCTCAAACCTTCATGTTCAATTTCTATGTTTTTCTAATGTATCCTTTAGGAAGCGTAGTTACACTACAGTGCTCTCCATATAACCCAATCACATCAGCTTTATCGAGCTCAAGAAAGACATGACATGTTCCTTTCCCTCAGCAGCACTTCGACCGCCTTTGTCATTTGAAATTGTTCTATCCAACCATGGTTTAGGATCCACTGTATTATCCTTTTCATGTCTCCAGGATTGTTCATCATTGCTTCGTAGGACCAATATTTCGCTTGTCTCCAGATATCTCCTCTTCCATTTGACCATCGAGGGCAGGACATAATCATGTGCATGGGGTTCCGCGACTGGTAGCCACATGGACAACCTGGACTGAAGACTCCGGGTAATTTTCTTCTGTGTAAATACGAGTTAAGCCCCATGTGCTCACTTCGTATTTGCATCGCCAAACTGCTTTGGGCCCTTGTCAGGTTACGATGTAGAAAGAATGGTAAGCCTTGAAAACTCAGTTTTTACCGTCCAGACTCTCTAGTTTGGTAAAATTTGGCTGCTCTCCAAGTTTCTGAATCGGCAGTTGCGAACTGCCGAAGCTTCTGAGTTTGTTTCTGCTTGGGACCGACATTATAATTATTGTTAATTCAATTTATTGTCTTTTCTAAGAGTATTACTATGTAGGACATGCAGTTCCTCTCTGTCAAAAAAGTTATTTGTTATGCGCATTAATATCAGAATAGATTGGGAGACGAGGTAACAGTCAAGATCACTAAGCATAGGCTGATTGATGAGATGCACACGAAAGCTTACTCGTATGTATTATTGCGAGTAGGGTTGGATGGTTCAGTGGTACACCATCCGGGCCGTTCTCCCAAGTAGATACAGGGTAGCTTGAACACCTACCCCATTCGAGACAGGAGAATGCCGGTTCGAATCCAGTCAGACCCACGCACCACTCTATCTCGCGGTGATGTTGTACTTATGGGACGATGAAAGCACACTCGGATAGCCACAGGTTTTTCACGCTTTTCCCTGTGGTGGGTAAACACGGAAGAGGTTATACGCCGTAAGGGTTAACCTCGAGTGGTATCTGCAAATGAAATCTGAGTGTGAGTGTTCTATATGTCAAGTTGAGTCATCCTACTTAGAGTACATGTCTTCCGATAAAAACCTGCATGGGCCTCAAGGCGCCAAATCATGTAAAATGAGTTATATATATTATTGCGAGTAAGGGCTAAGTTTAGTTATACTCAGCCTCGCAATCTTGCAAAGCTATTTTGGGCAAATTACATTTTTAACTCGTCATCATTCAATGAGAATGACCTAAAATTTGTTGGATGGTCAAGTCTTTTATTTTCCTTAGGTTCATAGTCATTTGTATTTGTAGACCTGTAGTTCCGGGAAAATAGAATCAAATTCTTTTTACAGAGTTGTCTTTTCTTCAATCTCAAATACACTTCGCCTGCCACAGGTCAGACACTCTCTGCCTATAGGCCAAGCGTACCTATGCTAGTGGTATGTACCCTCATATGCCTATCATACAGCTCTTCCCAAATATGACCACCCATCACAAGTCCTCATTCGATCATACACTTAGAGGAGCCCTTCACCTTTCGTTGTTCTCATTTCTAGCAAACAAAAAGATGGACATAAGTAGGTGTGTGGCAGGCGAGAAAAATCGCAAAAACCAATGGATGCAGGGCTGTTCTAATACCGACATTAGGACTGAATCTGAAGACATAGTGATCCTTCCGAAGCGTTTGAAGAGGCCGGCCAGGTGGGCGCTGTAGAATTGTGGGTACTTCGGAGAATTCACTCTCTGCCTTTCTAGCCTCCTTCCAACTCCTTCAAGAAGGACATGCTCAAATATCAGAAAAGTCTTGACAGAGCGTAATTTCTGTATGGTAGCTTAGCCTAACTTCTTTTGTGCCGTCCAAAGCCCTGGCGCCCACAATCGTTCCAAAGTCTAAAACACCTCGAAAGTATTAAACATTTTATTCCCACAAAAGGTCTCTTCCTTTCCTCTTTCTACACCCAGTAGCCTGTCATTTCTCAAGATGTAGAATCCTATCAGAGCCACAGTCCTCCATAAACCAATACCCTAACTTTGTGTGTTATGAATTGATTTCCTCCTTAAGGTATGCATAGCATCGCAAATTTTTAGTGGGTGATGATTGGTAAATAATGAGGCATGCTCCTGTTTGCAATTGGAGTAAAGCCTTTATCGGTCGTTGAGGCGAGGTGGTATATGGTGAGGTTAAGTTAGAAGACCCCCGTGAGAACGACTAGACCGACATTGATGAGAAGTCGCCGACAATCGATGTTTTAATGTTTTCGTTTGCTCTTAACTTCGATTAGGATGCGATTCTCCTTGGCTATCCCAGATTTGCAGGGCATAATGAGCGATTACACTGGCACCATCGAAAGGTGAAGGATTCGACTTTGCCGTCTTTTTTTTTAATTGTCCTATCTAAGTCTATGAATATGTAGGACATGTTCATTCATTTATCGTTACCAGGGAAAGACGAAAATTTTCGTATCCACCTAACGAATCGTCAACTTATAACTTGAAATCGGAGCCAAAAAACCTCATTTGCTAACAAATCAAGGCCTTAGAATAGAGAAAAAAGAAGTCTAATTAGAACAAGATTTGCCCTTAGTCACACCGAATACTAATTGTGGTAAATGAGCTGAAATACACGTGATTAAGGGGCGTACAGTGCTTGGCTACGATGAAACTACATAAATCTGTACCCACTTTATAAAATAATAATATCGTTAGGTGATTAAAGCACAGCTTCCCTTCAGGTGATGAAAGTGTACATGATTTTAGAGGTTTGAGCTAACCAATTTTGGGATTGAGTGTACACCTTGATACACATCACACGTGCAGCCATATTTATTTGATTTGGGTGTTCAACCGAGCCGCGATAACACGAAGTTCAATACTACTGTCTTTCGAAAAATTCCAGTTTTTCAAGGATAGTGACATGGTGGGGGGACCTTCTCGAAGGATCGTGGTCTAGCTAGTGAAGGGCTAGACTAAAATGACGTAGCATGACGCAGAATATTTCACGGTAATAATGGTGACGCTATTGTGTTAAGTGTAGGTTGCTATGTCGTTGTTGTCCAGGTAAACAACCCCTCCCAGGCGGTATGCATAGAGTGAAGGGCCCTTCAATCCTCCTGCCCGTAAATCTGAGATCGTCCGTAGCACTCTCTATCACACAAATACATTTTACAAGAACTTTCCTAACTAAATTAATTACTGATCAGCTCAAACCTACGTTTCCCCTAATCGCCCAAGGTCCTAGTCATCGCAAGGCCTGGCGGTGTAGAGAGGAATTGACAGCCCTCAGATAACATGGCAAGCTTCATCTCCAATTTGTTCCCATCCTCTCAGGTAGGTAAACTTGATAACACAATATCTTTACCGCCACCTGTTTCTTTCAATGAATGTCCGAACACACCAACTCGCAACAACTTCATCACACCGCTAGCGACACCGCAGGGTAGCCCAAGCAAGAATAGACACCCACCAGGGGCAAATGAGCTACCTGTTGCCTTTGAAAATGCTATGAGGCTATCGCCAATTAACAGTAGTAGCCCTGTCAAAAACAATCGAACACAGACACTAGCTCCGTTATCTACAGTCATAGGAAACACTCTCGCAGCCAACGAAACTTGCCCCAGCCCTAACACTAGTGAAAAACCTGTCACACCTTCAGATTACCCTCAGAAATCATACGGAAAGGAAAATACGCCAACTAACACTCGACCAATTCATGATCTTAACCAAGCTGCAGTCTTTCGACAAGAAATATACCATAGAGAGATAAATTCGCATGCAGTTAAAAAGTACAGCACTCATCGAGGCCTTAGTACCGAAGAACTCAATATCCTTCAAAAGCCGAACGTGAAAAGATTAGCCAACGTCACCCAACTATGTGGGTCATCAATTTTCACATGTTAAATTCAATCTCTCTGACTCAAGTAGACTTTCTAGATTATTATTATGACCTCTTAAGTTACGTTGGTTCTCGCCAAAACAGATTAAGCCACTTCAAATCTGAATACCCTGATCCGCCAGAAACAGCCGAAGAGACCTACACTCCTGCTTGGCAAAAGTATATCGGGAGAGAGCGAGCAAATCTCAGGAAACGCCGAGTCCGACTCCGGCAAGGCGATTTCCAAATCCTAACGCAAGTCGGTCAAGGTGGATACGGTCAGGTATTTCTCGCACAGAAAAAAGATACTCGCGAAGTATGCGCTCTGAAAGTTATGAGCAAGAAGTTGCTTTTTAAACTCGATGAAGTTAGGCATGTACTGACCGAACGTGACATATTGACCAGTGCAAAAAGTGAGTGGCTGGTCCGGCTGTTTTACTCCTTTCAAGATGAGAAAAGTATATACTTGGCAATGGTATGTTCCAAGTTATGTCCAAAATTCATAAGTCTCACCAGAACTAGGAATATGTTCCTGGGGGTGATTTTAGAACTTTACTCAACAACACTGGTGTTTTAGCCAACCGTCATGTGCGCTTTTACATAGCCGAAATGTTCTGTTCAGTTGACGCTTTACATCAACTCGGGTATATTCATCGAGACCTGAAGCCCGAAAATTTTCTTATAGACTCAACCGGTCATGTGAAGCTCACAGATTTCGGATTAGCAGCCGGCTTTCTTGCCCCAGGGAAAATAGAATCTATGCGCGTGAAGCTAGAGAAGGTCGGTGAGACTAATAATCCATTCGATAGGCCAATGCATCAACGAACAGTCGCTGAACGTCGTGAGGGATATCGAACTATGAGAGATAGGGACGTCAATTACGCAAAGTCAATTGTTGGATCTCCTGATTATATGGCACCTGAAGTCCTCAAAGGAGAAGACTACGAATTTTCAGTTGACTACTGGAGCCTCGGATGCATGCAATTCGAGGCTCTAACTGGCTTTCCTCCATTCGCAGGTGCCACCGTCGACGAGACTTGGAAGAACTTGAAACATTGGAGAGACGTTCTGAGAAGGCCGGTATGGGAAGACCCTAGCTACTTTATCAGTAATCGAACTTGGAATTTTATCACAAGGTACTTAGACTTCAAAATTCTAATGAACAATGACTGATACGAAGTTTAGTTGCATAGCTTCGAAGAGCAAGCGTTTTACATCTATAAGTGAGGTTTTCAACCATCAATACTTTAGCGAGGTTGACTGGGAAACGCTACGGAAACAACGTGCTCCTTTTGTACCCGAATTAGACTCTGAGACTGATGCTGGTTACTTTGATGATTTTAGTAGCGAAGCTGATATGGCCAAGTACAAGGAAGTTCATGATAAGCAAACAGCACTGGAAAATATGGCCGACCGAGAAGATCCAATGAGTAAGAGCTTGTTTGTTGGCTTTACATTCAGGCACCGAAAACCTCCCGCCGATGACGCGACCAAGGAAAAATATAACAGAGCATCTCTCTCTCATGAAACGTTTGGAACGATGTTATGAATTATGACAAGTATAAATATGTTTAGATCCTACTTTTCACGGTTACTTAGCGGTCGGATTATAAGGGTTTCCTATGGCGGTGTTTTCAGAGGGAGTCTGGCGATGGAAAATAATTTTCAAGCTTCCGAGAAATTTTTCGTACCAAGTAGGACGAGTGTTTCAATAGGCATGACTTGTGCTATCGATAAAGAAAAATACTTCATCTATCTCACTTGTTACGATAGGTTTATTGAGAGTGAAATAAACTAATCTTATTCTGGATATACAAGACACGACTAATCGGCTCTTCCTTTAGTTCCATGAACAACCTACAGATTAATAATCTCATTGTATTGCCTTGATAAATACTTGCTTATGATTTATAATATCAGTTCAAAGATTGATTCTCCTTTGACCTACATCTATGCCCTTCACGATAACACTAAGCAACCAAGTCACACAAATTATATCTGTTGATAGCCAAATATTTCACCTAAAAACTGAATGCAGGGCAAAAGATAAACTTGCCTCGTAGAATAACTCGAGACGTCTTTTATTGATATGTGTAAGCAGAAGTATGTCTATCATGCTGGGGTACAGTTCATAGGCAAGATGCAGATCAATAACAGGGATATGGTACTTACTAATTGCGCACATGAGGGCATTGAAGAAGATACTAGAATAGCCTCATGTACTTGTTGAGAGTGACTAGGGATCACAGAGAGGGGTATTAAAATCAGACTCTCGTAGTAGTATGGAGGGAGTGAGTTAGAGGTTTCGAAATTCCCTTTGGTGGGTACTAACGGAGGAGGGTCGACTGTTTGTGTAAGAAAGCATACCTCATAGTGTTATTTGCGAATGAAATCCAGAGTATGAGTGTCTCTAACGTCAAAAGAGTCATCCAACATGTATACATAGCACCGGTCATGTGTCATAGCTTTATAGCTGAATACACATTAAATGATTAAAAAAAAAAACAAAAAAAAGAGGGAGTGAGTTCATTTGATGATTAATTGCCTTCCTAATCTGGCTCAGTTACACACGTTCTCGTGACTCTCGAATAATTTTGCTATGAATTCTCACAATATGCATAGAATCACTTGCTGTTTAAAAAGTTATAATTTTCTATGCTCCAAATATAGTTTATCAGCTAGTTATATATATTTGAAATTAATCCTCACTGTTGGGATTACATGGTGATATCACGTCTCTACTGCAGTAGGTAAAGCTATGACGTGTATAAATCTTGAATGTTCTTCTATCCCTCAAAACTTGTGTACTACAATTATTTTTACTATTTGAATTTGATTTTAATTTCAATTAACCCGATCAGGCACCCTATGGGTCCATGCAGGTGACTATCTGCATTATTCACAAAGGAGGAAACCAATTAGGTGAAAACCCCCTGATCCTGTCTTTTTATGTTCCTATCAATTTATTTGGTTTACCTTCAGGAAGTGCAGTATACACTGTTCAGCCCGTGTGGATTCCGTCCTCTCCCCTTCCAGATCTATTTACTTTATCCGACATTGCTACCTCGTCTTCTCCTGCCAGTCGAAACTATTTTATCCACCCTTTTTTTAGTATCCACTGTGTAATTCTAGCCATGTCTTCTGGGATATTCATCATTGCTTCAAATGACCTATCTTTAGCTTGTCGGAGAAAGTCGCCTCTTCCATTTGCCCACTGCGGACACGCCAACATCATATGCTTGACGTTTTGCGACGAATATCTATATTGACAGCTTGGTTTTTCTACTCTGGGTACTTTTCTTCTGCTCAGGTAAGAATTGAATCTGATATGCTCGCTCCTTAGCTGAATGGCGACACTTCTTTGGGCCCCGGTGAGGTTACGGTGGATTCTTAAGGGTATATCTTTGAAGTTCATTTTGACGCTGCCAGTTTGTTTATCAGTAAATATATTTGCCGCGGTAGTCTGTTTTGTTTTATTTTATTATTATTTAAGGTCGTGCTAGCTCACAACACACACACAATTTTTTGAAATTCGAATTTTAGAATCTTCACTTTTTCCCCCTCTCTGTGACGGAAACCGAGCTGGTGATGAATAAATCAATTTAGTAAACTATATGAGGAGAAAAGCTAACTCTAGCTACTACTAACAGGTATTTATAGGAGTTAATCCTCCTCGTGAATCTACAGACTAGTGACTTGTCCTTAGGCACAACACTTCTTACCCAGCCACGTATTTTCAGGTGTCACTAAGTTGTAATAACGCTTCAGCCTCCTGAGTAGTAGTCCCGTTTCGTTCAGCTTCATCTCCCCTTCATACAGCCTCATAGTAAGAATTCTTAGTAACAAGCTTAGGTATCCACCTAAGCTCAAACAACGGTCAAACCGTAACATTACCCCCCCGCTTACCCTCTGCTCTTCTCTTTCCTTAATGCTGGCCCATTATTTGTCTCTGCAGAACCCCACTTTTTCTCCCAAACATCTAGAGCTGCAGCATCTTGCAAATTTATGAGTGATGTCCACTCTGGATGTGCCATTCCAGTCCACTTCACTAAAGCCTGTCGCTCCCCCTTTTTTGTTCTGCACCTAAGAACTTCGTCAATCTGGTACTCTTCTTCGCCATCATCACTAGTGATTGGTTCTGGGTTTTCATCTTCTAGTATTTGTGAAGGCAACGGATTTTCTTCTGCAGGTATGAGCAAATCCACATGAAATTTATTATGAACTTTTCCCGGTATATTCAGTTGCACTACCTCAGGCGAAATTATTCTTGTGACAGTATACTTTGCATGCTGCTAGCCTAATTTTTTGGAAGGTTGATCTTCCAATCTAATATTCCGTAAAAAGAGCCAAACTTTATCACCGACTTCGTACCTTGGTGCTGGCTGTCTCTTCTTATCTGTCAAATCTTTATATTGTTCCTGAATGGCTGCCATGGCAGATTGCATAAAAATGGTGACCTTTTCTAACCTTTCGACAAATTGTTCAGCCCTTTCTTTTCCTGTAGATGCTGGAATGATTGACTGATTAGTAACAATTTGGATGGGGTTCACATGATATCCGTGTGTCGCAAAAAATGGACTTATGCCGCCTAAGGATACAAAATCTCGATTATTTATAGCAATTTGAGCAGCAGCAAGTGAATCAGACCAATCATGTTGGGTGTAGGAAATATATGCTCGCAGGTATGTTTGAACTTCCTGGTTCATTCTTTCCGTTGCTCCATCGGTTTGAGGGTGGTAGGCTGTGCTCAGCCTCTGTTCAATTCCAACTAACTCGCACAATCGTTTCCAGAATTTACTCGTCCAATTTGACCCTCTATCGCTAGTTAATGCTTTTGGGAATCCATGGTAACGCCAATGACATTCTATAAATCGTTTTGCGCAAGTTTCTGCATCCATTTTGTCCATAGCCTCCAATGTCACTGATTTCAACAGTCTATCAGTGATTACCATGATATTTGTTGCACCATTTGATTTAGGAAGTTCCACCATAAAGTCAATGGAAAGCTCTTGATGGAATCTATCAGGTACCAGTAAAAGTTTCAGAAGCCCCTGTTTCTGGTGTCGCCAAATTGATAAACTTCCACACACGTGACAATTTTTACAGAACCGTTTGACGGACTTGCTTATTCCCGGCCAGAAGTATTCTCTAGCGACTTGGGCAAGCGTCGCATCTCTTCCAGGATGGCCATTGACGGCTGAGTCATGAACGTTCTGTATAAGGGCTGTTGTAAGAGGTTCATAGAGAGGCACTCATATCCGACCTTGGTAACAAACTACCCCAACATCATTGTCAAATTCGCAAGCAGCGATCGCTGCTTTAATCGGAGTAGGCTAGTTTGAACCTTCTATTTGCAACTTGATGTCTTTGGGCCATACGCGCTCTCCGCTTTGTACTGCCTTAGCGACTTGGACATATCTTTCATCGTTTTTTATTGCTTGGTTTCAAAGCTCCTGTAAATTTTCGTTGGCAAATATTTCATGGCCTTCCACTAGATTAATATTGCCAACACACAACTTTGACGCATGGATTGGCGTTAAGACTTGGCGCTCGCGACTCAAAAGTCGAGGATCACCTTTCTTAGGTCTATCTTGATCCCTCCTTGAAAGTGCATCTGGACGTTTATTCTCTGCACCTTTCCTATATACCAGTGTATATCTAAATCTGGATAGGAATTCAGCCCATCGAGTTTGCCGTTCTGTCAACTGTCTTGTAGTTGAAAAATATTTTAGATTCATGTGGTCACTTAGGATAGTAAAAGCCTGTGCTAAACCTCTCAATTCTGCATCCCATTCCTTCATACTTGCTACAATGGCTAGAAGTTCTTTGTCATGAATTTCATAATTCATTTCGGCTCCCATTAACTTCCTGGAGTAGTATGCTACTGGTTTCCATGTGGTGTTTTCTTGTTTCTGCAACAAACAGCCACCAAGTGCAAAACCAGAGCAATCTACCTCCAACATTGTTTCTCGATCGGGATCCCATTGGGCTAGAGTGGGCTCGGCAACAAACTTCTCCTTTAGCAATTCAAATGCATCATCTTGTTCAGAGCCCCACTTCCAGGGTGTACCCTTGCCTGTTAGAGATGTTAAAGGTGCGCAAATTTTTGAAAATCCTTTGATAAAGCCACGGTAGAAATTTGCAAACCCCAAAAAACCTCTCAGTCCCTTTGTTGTTGTGGGTGCTTGCCATTCCGATATTGCCCGAACTTTTGCTGGATCTATCTTGACCGAGGAGTTCCCACTTTCTGAAGATATTATAAAGCCCAAGTATTTTGTCTCTTTGACACTAAACTCACACTTGTCAATATCTAATCCTAGACCAGCTTTCTCAAGCTTTTTAAGTACCAGCTGTACGTGTCTTTGATGTTGCTCTTCATCTCCGTTGGTGAAGATGAGAACGTCATCCACATAAGCCGAACAGAAATCATCGAGGTACTCATGTAAGGCTTTGTTAATGTATCTCTGAAAACTTGCTGGTGCGCCATTCAACCCAAATGGCATAACAAGCCACTCAAATAACTCAAATTGTGTTCTAAAGGCAGTTTTC